AGGATTTCCCCCTGTCCTAGCAGGCCAGGGGAAGCTGTGTCAGCCCAATGCCCCAGTGCATCTGGATTAGAAAGGGGCGTTGTTTCTGTGGGAATCAGCTCCCTTTTCTTTTGCTACAGGTGGACTGAAGCTTCCCTCATTGGCCATGGCCCTGCACAGCCATAGCTCGTTCTGCCAGTCAGCAGGCAAAGGGCAGCTGATGCCAATGGACTGTTGCTTTACCTTGGCAGGTATGGACTCTCTGTGAGCAGACACCTCCATGTCCTGTGGTGGAGCTGGTGTGAACACCTCCTCCTCCTCCTCCATGCCAGCAGCGGTTCCCTGTGCAGGATGAAGATCTTGGCAGCTTCCTGTCAGGCAGCTTTCCTCCAGATCCTCAGCCAGACATGATGCAGCTGTGGCTCTCCTTTTGAGGCCCACTCTTGGCTTGTACCTTTCCAGCACGTGGGGATGCTCCATCTTAAAGTTGGGGCTATAACAGATGCATAGAAGCTAAAAAGTGCAAAGGAGGAGAGTTAGTTCAAGCCTGAAAAACACAAATATATGAGAACTAGGACTGCTAGTTTTAGACAAAAGCCAAACTTGGGTATTAAAAAGGACTCTTAGGGGCATATGAAACAGCAAGTTTAGGCTGTCCCAAATGTTACAATATGGTCCTGTTAAGGGATAACCAGCCCTGGATTTTCACCTGAAAATGCCCTGAGAAAGCAATGAAAGTGAGGACATGGCTGAGGCTTATTTGGTATGAACATCACTCTCTCTCAGCAGTTCATGTGGAAAGAAACTGATGTACATTTGTAAGAGCTGAAGCAGCTGCTTCTTCTCCTGGAAATTCATCCCTGGAGTTAGATAAACTGGACATGGCAGTTTGCACAACCCACAGAGGTCAAGTTGGTGAGGAAAACGTCTCATGCTCTCCAATTCATAAGCTCTCCCAAATCCTCTTCTCGCCAGCACCTTATCCTTGAACATTTCTTTATTGATGGCAACAAAAAATCCATCACCAACCCACCAAATGGAACG